TGCTGCTGCTGATGCTGCAGATGATGATGAGGAGGAAGAGAAGGAGGAAGAGGAGGAGAAGGAGGGGGGCGGAGGAGGAGGAGGCGGTGGAGCATGGAGTGGAGCGGGAGGATGCTGAACATGCTGATGACGCTGGTGATGATGGGCAGACACACAAGCAAGCGCAGAAGCATACAGATGAAGGTGAAGATGCTGACGCTGCTGATACTGATGATGCTGCTGCTGATGATGTTGATGACGCTGATGCTGATGATGACGCTAATGCTGATGCGGATGATGATGCTGACAATGCAGATGATGCTGATTATGTTGACGGTCATGCTGATGGTGATTTTGCGGATGCTGATGATGCCGCTGAATATGGTGATGCTGGTGATGCTGATGATGTTGGTGCTGATGCTAATGCTGTTGCTGATGCTGATGCTGATGATGGTGATGCTGATGTTGATGATGATGCTGCTGCTGATGATGATGGTGGTGATGAGAAAGAGGAGGAGCTTGCGGAGGACAGACAGGAGACTGGAGGACGAAGATGATGAGAAGGCATACCTGGAGACGGGAGGAGGCGATAGAGAAAGCTGATGAGGATTGGGAGGAGGAGGTCGAGGATAAAACAGCATGCGGCGGTTGACAGGGAGAGATAATTGCGAGCACGCGCCGCACAGTTCGAGGAGGGATGGCTGATGCTCATGACGCTGTTTTTGTTGATGATTCTGTTAATGCTGCTGTTGATGATGCTGATGATGCTGACGACGATGATGATGATGCTGTTGATATTTTATTCTGATGGCGATGCTGATTATGCTGATGACGATGCTGATTATGCTGATGATGATGATCGTTATGATGATGATGATGAGGATGGGGATGAGGATGAGGACGAGTGTGATGAGGATGCTGCTGATGACGATGAGCATGATCAGCATGCTGATGATGCTGCTGCTGATGATGTTGCTGCTGCTGATGATGATGATGATGACTACGCTGATGGTGATGATGATCATGATGATGATGATGATGATGATGATGATGATGATGATGATGATGATGATGATGACTATGCTGATGCTGCTGATGATGACGACGACGATGCGGATGATGATGATGATGATGATGATGATGATGATGATGATGATGATGATGATGATGATGATGCTGATGATGGTGATGATGATGATGATGATGATGATGATGATGATGATGATGATGATGATGATGATGATGATGATGATGATGCTGCTGATGATGATGATGATGATGATAACGATGCTGCTGCTGCTGCTGATGACTATTAGTATTAGTAGTAGTCGTCGTCGTCGTCGTAGTCGTCGTAGTCGTAGTAGTCGTAGTAGTCGTAGTAGTCGTAGTAGTCGTAGTGGTCGTAGTGGTCGTAGTAGTGGTAGTAGTAGTAGTAGTAGTAATAGTAGTAGTAGTAGTAGTAGTAGTAGTAGTAGTAGTAGTAGTAGTCGTAGTAGTCAGCAGTAGTTAGTAGTAGTAGTACTAGTAGTAGTAGTAGTAGTAGTAGTAGTAGTAGTAGTAGTAGTAGTAGTAGTAGTAGTAGTAGTAGTAGTAGTAGTAATAGTAGTAGTAGTAGTAGCAGTAGTAGTAGTAGTAGTAGAGGTAGTAGTAGTAGTAGTAGTAGTAGTAGTAGTAGTAGTATTAGTAGTAGTCGTAGTAGTAGTAGTAGTAGTAGTAGTAGTAGTAGTAGTAGTAGTAGTAGTAGTAGTAGTAGTAGTAGTAGTAGTAGTAGTAGTAGTAATAGTAGTAGTCGTAGTCGTTCGTAGTCGTAGTAGTCGTAGTAGTAGTAGTAGTAGTAGTAGTAGTAGTAGTAGTAGAGTAGTAGTAGTAGTAGTAGTAGTAGTAGTAGTAGTAGTAGTAGTAGTAATAGTAGTAGTTAGTAGTAGTAGTAGTAGTAGTAGTAGTAGTAGGAGGAGGAGTAGTAGTAGTAGTTAAGTTAGTAGTAGTAGTAGTAGTAGTAGTAGTATAGTATAGTAGTAGTAGTAGTAGTAGTAGTAGTAGTAGTAGTAGTGGTAGTAGTATTCGTAGTAGTAGTAGTAGTAGTAGTAGTAGTAGTAGTAGTAGTAGTAGTAGTAGTCGTAGTCATAGTAGTAGTAGTAGTAGTAGTAGTAGTAGTAGTAGTAGTAGTAGTAGTAGTAGTAGTAGTAGCAGCAGTAGTAGTAGTAGTAGTAGTAGTAGTAGTCGTAGTAGTTGTAGGAGTAATCGTAGTAGTCGTCGTAACCGTAGGTTGTAGTTTGTAGTTGGAGGGTTGTAGGCAGTGGGTCGTAGGACGTAGTAGTGGAGGAGGGTGGGTGGGATAATCCGCTGCTGGCGAGCATGCAGCCAGAGAGGCAGATGCTCCTCAGGGTGGTCAGGGCAGCGCGCCTGTCGAGGCGCTGGTCCCTACCGGGAGGGCGTGGAGCAGGGAGGGGCAAGCCTGCCGCCGGTCGGGGACAGGCGGCCTCGGCAAGATCAAGCCTTCGCAGATCAAGAAGGTCTACAAGAGCCGCGACCCAGACAACGCCCCTCCCCCCCCCTTCCTTCCTTCAGCGTTGGGGCACGCCGTCCAGGCATATTGAACCAAGCCGTCCCTCCTTCCCCGTCCGCCCCGTCCCCCTTCAGGAGGGAAAGAAGGAAAGAAACGCACAGACACACATTGAATCGGCGATTCCACAGAAAATAGGGGATAATATGGGAAGTGGGGGGGAAGACAAACACCCAGAAAATACGGGAACGTATGGGGAGCCTTTTTATTTGTGTGTATTTATTTGTGTGTCCCAGGGCCCCTTCACCCCTGGGGTTTGCTCCCCTCCCCCCCCCCTCCCCCTTCTCTAGCTGCCGTCCCGGCCCGAGGCTTTTGGGTGCAGGTATCCAGGATACCTGCGAAGCCTCGCGGGACTCGGCGGCCATACGCGCTCGCCCGCGCCGCCCTCGCTGGTGGCGTGCGGGCCGGCCGTGCTGCTGTGCTGTGGCGTGCGCCGCCCCCAGCGTGGGCGGGCGCACGACGGCGCGGGCGCCCGCAGTGCGCAGGGCGCGGCGCCGGCTGCGCCTGCGCGAGCCCGCCTGGCACAGGCGCGCTCGCGAGCGGCGCACGCAGTCGCGCACCCTGCTGCGAGTCGCCGCCGCAGCGGCGAGGCTGCGCGCGCACCACAGCAGCGGGATCATGTCTGGCCGTGCTGGAGGCTATGGCGGCAAGGGCAGCGGCCAGGGCCGCAAGGGCGGTGGCAAGGGCAGCGGCCACAGCGGGCAGAGCGGCACCACCCCACCATGGGCTGTGCCGCCGCCGCCGCCAGGATGGTGGTGCCCGACCTGCGGAGGCCTCAATGGCCCGTCGGACCTGCTCTGCCGCGCGTGCATGCCCTTGCCAGCCTGCGGGCCGCAGCACGGCGCGGCGGACCGCGGCAGCGAGGCCGGCGATCGACGCAGCCAGCCCACCGCCGCGCCTCTGGCTCGCGCCGACGCAGGCGATCCAGCCAGACCAGGTCGGCCTCCCGTGTGCGCTTTGCGCAGGACGAGGACGACGACGGCGAGGCCAACGAGGGCGGCCACCCCTCGGACGGCGGCGACGACGAGCTGCGCAGCCCGGCATTGGGCATTTTGCCCGCGCTGCCAGAGGCCGCCAAGGCTCACCCCGCCTGGGTCGAGCCGCCGAGTGAGGAGCGTGAGCTGGGGGCTCACCGCCGCTCGCTGCGCCAGATGGCCGCCGCCACAGGCAAACGCCTCCAGGCTGCGAAGGACTTAGGCATGTCGGCCGAGCAGATGCGCCCTCAGGAAGAGGAGTATGCCGTGCAGCTCTGTATGATCATTATCGCTCGGCCCTCTGGCGTGAGATGTGACAAGCAACGGTCATATGTCCAGAGAGCGCAGCAGAAGCTGGAGAAAGCTCAGGACGCCGCCGCCGCAGCTCGTGCCGCCTTGGAGGACGCGGACGCCAAGGTCCAGCAGAGGTCGGCCGCCGTGGAGAGGGCCAGGACGCTGCTGGAACAGCTGGAGGCCATGCGCCCGCCTCCTGCCGCTGCTCAAGAGGCAGCCGACGGAGACGTACCCATGGGCGGGGTGCCTAGCACACCGCCAGCGATGCCAGGCACCCCGCCCGACACGGCCCCGCCGATCGCCGCGCTCGCGGCGCTGCAGGCTGGGCAGCTGGAGCTGGGACAGGCGCTCGTGGGGCTCACGGGCTTGCTAGCGACGGTCCAGACGGAGTTGGCGGCGATGCGGGCCCAGGGCACTGCGACATCGCCTGCGGCCACTCCAGAGGTTCGCCCGTTCGCTGGGCCACCGCAGCGCCTTGGGCCTGATGCGGCACCCGCTGGAGAGCCTGCAGCGCCTGCGGCTGCGCCTACGGCGGCGCCGCCGCCCGCGGCACCTGCAGCAGCCCCTGCTGCCGCCCCTGCGGCGGCCACCGCAGCCGCCCCCTCGGGTGCAGCCGCCGCCGCTGGCCCTGGGCAGGGCCCGCCAGCCGCCGCCGCCGACGGGATGCATCCCGCGCAGCGCGGGCGCCAGGCCGCAGGCGTGCGCCCGAGGGCACGCGGGGCAGAGGTCGTGGAGGCGGCGACAGATGCAGCTGATGCCGACGAAGAAGAAGAAGGATGGAAGAAGGTGGATGCGAAGAAGACTCTTGACGCCGAGGCGCGGAGGGCCCGTCGTGATGCCGAGCGTGCACGCCGACCGACTGGTCAACAGGGGCTTCGCGAGGCCATCGCGAGGCAAGAGGGCGTCGAGAGCCATCGTGGACGAGGTGCGATCCCTCCAGCTCCAGCAGGTCGTGCCGAGCTCGCCCACGAAGCTGGAGCTCCTGATGCCGCCGCCGCCGCAGAACGTCGCCAGCGTCACAGTCGCAGCCACAGCCCACGGCACACGCGTGCTGGCGGGGCCAAGGGATCAGATTCATCGGACCTGTCGGAGCTGGGGTGATGCGACATGACGGGCAGGCTTCGGGGAGTGAGATGCCTGAGCCGCCAGTGCTGCCATCATCTCACAGCCTGCCCGCTGCTGGCCAACGGCCAGCCGCGTCGCCTCGTCCCCACGCTCGGATGGAGTCCGAGCCTGGGCAGCCCCGCTGCCCGATTCCCGACTGCAGTGAGCTTGTCAGGCAACTACGTCAGCCTTGGCAATCTAGTGCTTCTCTCTCCCCCGCCTTTCTCGGGCAGTGCCAGACGGCCGATCGCTGTCTTTTTCACCCATACCTTCACAGTAGTACGATTTCGTTTTTTGATACCCACGGAGCCTCCCCCCACTCAGAGGATGAGCAGGTAGCTTGGGTCGAAATCCATACCGATGGGTCTGGAGGGTCTCGCCAACAATCCTTGGGAGGGCCACCGTCTTGGGCATGGTGTGTATTTACAGTTGCTGCCTCGGGACGGTATGTTTGTGAAGGTTACCTGTGTGGGATTGATCCTGATCTATCCAACTCCGTTGCCAGTCCCTCCGGTGCCGCTGAGTTTCAAGCAGGCCTGTGGCTGGTGCTATGGTTATTGCAAGCCGACGATAGATTTTGCCAGTATCCCATTGTGGTGTACACAGACAACCAGCTTGTGGTGTCGACGGCGGCAGGTGGGACCCAGTATGCGTCATGTGGGGACTTTACGTGGCTTTTCGACGGTGCCTTGAAGTTGCTACGGCAGTATACGACGCTCACTTGGAAGCACATCCTGGGACACAACGCCCACCCGTTAAATGAGCTTGCAGATACCATTGCACGGCTTGCCTCTATGGGCCTATTGCCGACTGTAGATGCAGACTTTCAACCGTGGTCAGTATTGCTTGCTGCCGCCGCCCATGTACCTTGGTTATGGATTACTGCCAGCGCCAACGTCGGCTCAGGGGTATACCCGAATGTTGGTGCATGTGAAATGCCGCGTCTCGCCCCTCCCCGTCTGGACCTTCAGACTGCTTTCTCGCCGCCTGCTGGTCGCAGCCCGAATGACACGAGTGTGCCTCGTGATTCCCGTCCCTCAGGCGTGCTGTCCCTGCCTCAGGTACGATTCGCCGTGGCTAATGTGCTTACGTTACGGCCCCGCAGGAAGGCAGCAAAGGGAAAAGGCGACAGCAGGATCAGGTGCCGCAACCAAGACGCGGCCGGCCTCAACATGCCTGGCAGAATGCTCGCTCTTGCACATCAGTTCTCGTCTCGCCAGTTGCATCTTGTCGGCACTCTTGAGACACGGCTATGCAGGAATGGTTGGACACCAGCAGGGGATTATGCCGTCATCACTGCCGCTGCCGGGGATCGAGGGAAGTTTGGAGTGGCCTAGTGGGTTAACATGCAGCATGAGTATGATGGTAGACACACTTTGGCGCGCCGTCACGTACGTGTGCTTAGTTTCTCGTCACGCCATCTGCTAGTCGCCATTCGTGCTCCTGGTCTCTGCATTGACGTGTTGGTTGGACATGCCCCTCACTCCCGTCGGCCACCAGACGAGATTCGAGGATGGTGGGATCAGGTTGCGTCAGTTCTCTCTGCTCGGGCTCAGCCAGCGCCGTTGTACTGCCTGCTTGATGCGAATGCCACGGTGGGCTCACAAGTGTCAGACTCAGTGGGTGATGTGGCGCCCGAGGTTGAAAACTTCAATGGAATGTGCTTCAATAAGTTTCTTCGGGATACCGAGCAGTGTGCAGTATCTACGTTTTTGCCGTCGTACTCTGGGGTACACGGCACATGGTTACCGCCTGGGGCCCAGGGTCAAGCACCTAGACGTCGCATCGACTACATTACCACCCCCATCGGACAGATCAACAGCGTGGTGCATCAGGGTGTCGATGTCGATCTCGATCTCTCACTACGTCGGGACGATCACTTCGTGGTCACAGCTTACATGCGTATATGCCATGCCGATCGGTACGAACCGGCCTTGCTATGGCCACGGTCTCGACGCGACATATCTAAGTATGACGACCCTGACTGTCAGCAGGCCTTTGCACAGGCCCTACAGATGGTACCCCAGCCCCCCTTCTCCATGCACCCGGACGACCATGCAGCACATTTGAATGCGGCCTTGCTTGCGGCGGCTGAGTTAGCCTTCCCGCCTAAAGCGTCATTGTCCGGCCGCACGCCGCAACATAGCTGGCTCTCCCAGGGCTCTCTGGACCTCATGGATCAGCGCATGCATGGCCGTCGTGCACTACGATACCTAAGGTCCAGTTTGTCGCGACTGCTGCTTGCTACTGCCTTTGTGGCCTGGGCCTCGGACGGGGCCTCTGCGGGAGAATGGTTCTGTCACAGGATACACTGCAGGAGGTTCTCATATCGCGACGGGCCCTCCCACCTACCTCTACTACAGTGCTGCCGTAGGATTGCGCAGGCGACTGACAGCGTGCTGGATGCGACGAAGGCTTTCATGGTCCCACTACAGTCGCCCAGCGGGAAAATCAGCCTACCCCCGTTTACGACCGACCATGTCGTCGGTTTGCGCTACGTTGGGCGTCTTCCCACGTTGCACGAGCTGGCTGAGGCCCCCAGGGACCTACGGTATGACCTGGATATGATTTTGCGGTTCTACCTGG